CAACTATCACGTAAACACCGACATGTCTTACGAGGAATTCTGTAAATTGTGTGACAATTGCTGGCAACAAAAGTATGGATTTCTAGTGATAGACAAGGACAGCGCACTTGTCAGTGGGCGTTATAGAAAAGGATTTAATGACTTTGTGGTACTGTAACGTAGTTAGTTGTTGTCGATACATCGATTGTACAACATTCCCGACATGGGGGATCGAGAAAAAGATTACCTCGCTTCAAAATAATATGCAAATGCTGATTAACGAGCTTCGAAAGTCGATTCAAGAAACGCATCATCGCGCTGAATAGAAAAGACTCAAACATGTCGAAAAAGAAAAGTCTCGAAAAGCAGCAGCTGATCGAGGAACTGCACGCTCCCGCGAGAAGAAATTTTCCACGAAGACGCGTCATAGTTTGTGGATACGATAACCTGTGGCAGGCGGATGTGGTCGAGATGCGTCCTTATACGCGATTCAACAGAGGTTACCACTACATTCTCACCGTTATCGATGTGCTGAGTAAGCATGCATGGGCCGTACCTCTCAAGGCCAAGAGCTTGTTGGCGATTGTGGGAGTGACGTCGATGGGTCGCATACCGATAGTTCGATGCTTTCGCGCGTTGTATTCAGACATGAGACGCGGTAGCAAATCGATCCATCTATAGTTTTTATTGTATGTAAACTGCTTCCACATACTGTTTTTCAACGTACGATTGAACCGCTCGACGACTGATGCCTTCATTACTGAATATGTAGAATAATGATTGATGTTATGTTTCTTTAAGAGATTCTGCACGTTGGCGTTATAAAATTCCTTTCCCCTATCAGTTTGTGAATTTTTCGGGCATCTCCCATCGTGTCGAATTATCTCTACAATCGCTTTAGTCACATCACTTCCGCTCTTGGCCTTGAGAGGTACGGCCCATGCATGCTTACTCAGCACATCGATAACGGTGAGAATGTAGTGGTAGCCTCTGTTGAATCGCGTATAAGGACGCATCTCGACCACATCCGCCTGCCACAGGTCATCGTATCCGCAAATTATGACGCGTCTTCGTGGAAAATTTCTTCTCGCGGGAGCATGCAGTTCCTCGATCAGCTGCTGCTTTTCGAGACTTTTCTTTTTCGACATGTTCGAGTCTTTTCTATTCAGCGCGATGATGCGCGATGACGCGTTTTTTGAATCGACTTTCGAAGCTCGTTAATCAGCATTTGTATATTATTTTGAAGCGAGGTAATCTTTCTCTCGATTTCGTCCTGTCGATCTTTTAAAACTTGTATCGTCTGTTGCACAAAACGTTTGTTGGCGACATCGCTATCATCTACCGGCAGTGCTACACGTCGAATCTTGCGTGACTTTGCGTCAAAGTCGGATACAACTACGCAAAGAGCGTTATCGAGCACGTAATTCCTGAGTAGTCCACTCAACTGGTAGTACGAACTTGTTCCGCCTATACCGAGCGACGTCCCAAACTTGTTGATCGGCATTTCGATGTTGACTAAATGATTCGTACTGTGTCGTCTAATTTATAATAATACCCGCTTCGCGAAGTTCCTCGATAATCGACAGCATCTCGTTGTCGTGCGCATTGTGACCAGCTTGGCGCGAGGCCTCGAGCAATCGGAAGCGATA